AATCGGAAGAAAACGACACAATTTTGCAGTAGCGCGTACAAGACTCACGTTCCACACAACAACCTTTTACTAAGTACAATTTCAACCCTGGAGGGCACTATCACACAAATGCATGTCGACTAGATTTTTGAGGAAGGATATGAGCAGTTGCAGAGCACATAAAAATTTTTGTAAATAACTTTCAACTTTTTAGTATTTGTATTTTTTCCGATACAACAGCAATCATGACTACTATTTGTAACAAAAGGTTGTCTGAATACTACATCAAAATTACCATTTCATAAAACGGATGAAAATATATATATGCCACTTTATTTATTATTTTTTCGTTCTCTCGTTTTAGAAACACTATGGAGATTCCAAGGCAGACCATTGGCATAACTCACGTTGAGGAGGGTCTAAACGAGGCTAACGGAATCATTTCCTCGTTCAGCGACTGGTGTGTTGTGGGATTCGTTCAATGCTTACAGGTAGTAGCACAGGCAAAAGAACTGATAGCGACTCCACAGTTTAATGATCACGTTGAAGCCCTTCAGCGTCGTTTTCGTAATCCACCACCACTCCCCATTTTAGAAGTACACATTGATGAACCTGAAGATGAGCAGCCTCGAGTACCAAAGAAAAACCCTGTAAATCACCAAGAAATCTATGAAAAAATAAAAACCCGTTATGAGCCATGGCGGCAACCAGTAAATGAGGATATTCCAGCTGTACCTGTAAATCAACGCCATAGTTTAAGTTATTTAGAAACATGTATCAAAGACTGTAATAAATTATACAAAAATGGGGAAAACAGGGTTTTGTTAAATGCAGCAAGGTTTGGGGAATGGTTAGAAGTGTCGTTTCAAACATTTCGAGAAGATAAGAAAAGGGGAGGGTACTTTCGCCAAAATTCGATTTATGGTTAAAAAACAATTGCGGCATTTGGGAAGAAGTGGGCAAAAGTATTGAGAGAATTTTACGATCTAACAAAGGATTATCCCCAATTAATTTACTGCCGCCTACCCTTAAGTTTTTTCCGAAAAAACAAAAAGCATATAGTGAATTTTTTTAGCATACACGACAAGGAAGGTAGAAAATGGGGACACCGATTAGATTGCAAATGCAAACATTGTGGCCCCTTGTAAATAAGATATTTAACCATTAGCACAATGTCTGGATGTCAGTGGTCTCGAAAAGAGCATTTTGTATGAAAAACTAAAATGTGCTAGACAATTATTTAAACAGAACTCTGACATCATGCTTACGAATAAAATTTGTTTGACAAAGAAAAGGGAACTGGCAGTTCCCTTTAGTTCAATAGAACTAGTGATGACATCATGCTTATGAATAAAATTTGTTTGACAAAGAAAAGGGAACTGGCAGTTCCCTTTAGTTCAATAGAACTCTGACATCATTTTTTGATCTATATTTATTATATTATATATTGTTAAAGTTATATGTTTTAATGGTAAAGTCAGCCGTTTTTAATAAAGTGAAAAACTCAGACATGTAAACCTAAGAAAACGTTGTATATCTATTTATTTATAAGTATTGATAGAGGGCGCCACCAGTTGCTGTGAGTCTGTGTAAAGATCTCCAAGACGGCGAAAGATATTAGATAGTAAGAGCCTGGTCTGGTGCCTAGACAGAGGGAAATATGGGGTTTGTCGCCGTACCCCCCCCCCCCACTTATAATATAACAACTCGGAGAGAGAAGAGATATATTTGGGGAGCTAGAGGGGGAGATTATTTGGGGAAGGGGGATCTATTTTGGGGGAGGGGGATCTATTTTGGGGAAGGGTCATTTGGAGGGGAGGGGGTAATTAAGGAGGGAAAGATAATGGGATTTGGAATAGTGCCTGTCCATCTCCCTACTTCTCATGTAGTGGGGGAGACGACACCAGCCTGGCCAACCCAGGAGGTACACACTTGGGTCTTAATAGTAGGGTTGATCGCTTTCAGGTGACTCACAGTGTAGCACTGCTGTGACTGGTCAAGAGCATCGGTCAATGTCTTCTCTATCGCGGTAAAGCATGTGTGTTGATATGCTATACACTGCTGGTCGTCAGCATATGAAGCGCTTTGCGAGCGAGTCTGTCGGTTGGTAGCTTGTATAGATGTTGTACAGGAGAATACAAGCACACTCCCTTAGGGGAGACCGTTCCTTTGAAGACGTCGTACTCTACTCTGCCATTGAATTCTACAAAGAAACGATAATTCTTCAGTAGAACACCAATAAACTGGGTAAGGGTCAGGTCTGCCTTCATGTCCAGGATCTTCTGAAGGAGTTGGCAATGGTTAACAGTGATATAGGCAGCTGTAAGATCAACAAAGACAATGCCGGTGATCTATTTTTTTCTGCGGGAAGCCGTCCTCAATGTACAAATGGACTGAGTGAGGTTTAGAAGCTGTCCAGTTGTAGATTTGCCGGGACGGAAGCCTGCCTGCCTGTTCCTGTATGTTTCTCAATGAAGAGGCAAGACAGTTGAGGAGGAAATGTTTCAGCAACTTGATTGTGTGACCGCACTTGACTTTTTTTGGTCAAACTAACCGAGACTATTTAGAAGGGATTTGGGACTATAAGTTTTGACATGCAGTGGGTCTTTCCCAGGTTTTAGGGGGCGATTACCTTTGATTTTTGCCACACTTTAGGTATTGTTTGTGTGGCGAGGCAGGTGTTGAAGAGCTGGAGTAACCAATTTGAGTCGTTTGATCCAAGATGTTTCAGTTCTTCGGTGAAAATGTTATCCAGTTTGGTTGCTTTCGTGTTCTTTATTTATGCCAGTCGCAAGTTTATTAGCAGAGAAGGATTTGATGAAGCCAAGGTCGATGGCGGGGTCTTTCTGGCGGAGCTTGCGTTTCGGTCGCTTTACCATTTAATAGCAGTTGTTGTGGGCTATTTGGTTGGCAGTGATGTTACAATGCTGTTTACTAGGCTCTGTGCGGTCATTGCTGAGCTTTTTGATTATACTCCAGGCTTGGAGGCCATATTGGCTTCTTGGCCATATTGGTGGTTACCACAGGGGTTTGCCACAAGCTTAGATAACAGAAGCTGTTCTGATATGGCTGTTATTAATTCCTCCCCAGCTGAGATGGTATCGACAGCAAGAGGGTCGTTTTCATACAGGCGTTTGTATTTCCTGTAAACGGCAGCCCCTAGAGATGTTCTTGCACCACCACATCAACAAACCGATGTCATAGTTATCGGGGGTTGGATCAATGTCAGCTAGATGGTGTTTGAGCTCATTGGTGAAGCCTTCCCAGTTGGCCTTACTATAAAGTTGAAACGGCGGCGGAATGGAATTGTTGCGGAGAGACAGCAGCAGTCACTTTGATTCCAATAGGGCGACGTCGGGTCTTTGGAATGGGGTCAAGGACCATCTTGTTGGTCGAGGCGATATTATTTATCGCCTCGACCAACCTTTATTATAAGCGAGGCGATATTGTGGCTCACAAAGGCTAGAGCAGGAATGAAACTTTATCTCCAGCTTCCACAGTGGAAAGACTTCGGCCTCCATTGTCGAAAGACTTATCGGCAGTTTCGCATTGCAGGCTCAGTTGACTTGCTAGCTTCGGCCAGCGATTCCAAAGCGTCGCCGTCTGTGGTGGAATGGTAGCCAATGATGCTGCTGTGGCTATTAAATCCCCGATAATTATGCCCGGCTTTAACTGTTTTGTGGATTGTGGCGGTGGCATTAGGAAGGGGCGTCCGGGTGGTTTGTAGACAGATGTTATGATGACAGATGTCAGGACTTTGATGTTCTGGTCATCGGATATGGAAGTTGACTGGATGACAGTCCCAGTTTTGACCCCCCCCCCAAAAAAAACCCCAACGCACTCCCTTACTTCTCGTTGGGGCGCTCTGACATCATTGTCAGTGTCACACCATGAATTTTTGGTCTGTTGTTGAGACTACGGTGCATTTCTTGCAGGCAAAGGACACCGCACTTGGTGTTCTTGCAGATATTGGCAAGAAGGTAGTCTTTGGTTGTCCATGTCCCCTCAAAGTTAGCAGATATTACTGTTAGCGCCGGCCTTAACAAAGGCCTCCGGGAGTCCACTGCTGTGCCCTGCTGTGGGTGGGGTGGAGATGACATCTGGAATTTGGAGAGACATCTGGAATTTTCGTTGGTTGCAGTGGCACTGGGACTAAGAAACAGGAAATACCATTGGCACCAATAATAGCCAATACCCTCAGCGGCGCCTCCACAGATGCAGGCTTCCATGCTTTCACTGGAGCTAAGCAGACGGGCAAGTTTACGATGAAGGGCAAGCTTTATTGTTGGCAGGCACTAAATTAGTGTTCTGCTGAGGTGTTATCTGCCTTTGCTGCGTTGGGAGCTACCTGCAAGCTGACAGCCGCAACAGAAGGAGGCATCAAGGCATTTGTATGCCAACCTGTCACGTTACTCGAGTGACGACGATGATGAGGGGGATGATCCTTCAATTTAGTTCTGACACTGCAGCAGTTTGTACTGCTGCTATGGTCGGCCATGGACAGAATCCTTTATAAACATTAGACAGATGAACATGTGTCTGCTGGAAGATCTAAACGTGTATGTACATGTATATATTGTTCCAGCAAAAGATGTCATGTTAATATTTAAATAGTCGAAAATATGTTGATGTTTTACTGGAAAATTCAGCTGTTTATACTCCACACACTAACAGGACTTTAAAGACGCATGTACTTAGTATAAGAAGCATTATTAAAAACCCCAAAGGGGTAAATGGATACTTAATGAATACTTAAGCTCCGCTTTCTAACACCATGTTGTGTGCATTTTGACCCGTTTTGGGGTATATTATGGAAAATAAGATTAAGGTATCAGAAAATGGTCAGAAAAAAATGGCAACATCATTTTTTTGTAAGTTAAAACATCCCAGAAGATGGTCCAACCTATTGCCAAAAATTAACATTTCATGCCAACGGAAGTACATTGGCCCCCCACTTGAAAGTTTGTCAAAAAGTTAGACCTAAACAAAACTGGGCACGTGAGGGCGCTGTGTTACTTTCTTTTGCGAATCCGATGTTTACTTTCTCATCCATCACTTCAGCGACGACTCGACTCATCATCAACAGATTTAGTGAGTTCAATTCAATTCAATTCACTTTATTTTCAACGTAAAAGAAGACAATCAGAGTTAAATGTATACAAAATATGTGGATGGGGATCCGTAAAATATAAAAAGCAATGCTTGTCGAGTAGAGATCCCGGACCCCAGTTGCAATGCAATACAAAAATTTACAAGTTACACACACAACAACAATGTCACAAACAACACAACACATAGGATTGGTTGCCATATTATCGCGGTACTTATCACGTTTCTCGTTCGGAATAGAGATTGCCCACTAACCTTCCCGAATTGTCCTGTCTTTTGTGTAGTATAACTCTTCCTTTTCAAATTGATATAAAAAAATCCTTCGGTGGTGTGGTGTATTCCGTGTACGATGCCTGTGGAAATAGACATGCGCGGAGTGTGCGAACGGAGGTGGACTCCCTTATTATCGCGGTATGCGGGAAGTGGTTTTTATAATGATCTCAACTTTTTTATTCATAGTTAAAGGGAATATACATCATTTGCTTTTGCTGTAATTTTCAGAAATGGATGGAATTGGGGGGTTGGAAATATATAGCAAATATAGTTACACTGACTTTTTTGAGGTTTTGGGTTCGAAAATGCTATAAAAACCAAGAAAAACAATCATTTTCCTGTAGTCTGGTTCCCTGACTCCATATAAGAAGAAACAGAGCAGTTTACATACTTTTGGGAATTGTAAGATCAGGGAACCAGTCTAGCTGGCTCGTACCCGTTCATAGGTTTGTAATCGATTGCAAACAAGTGCGATGGTCAACTGGGGCCAGTGTTTGAAAAAAGCCAGTTTTTTTCCAACGCTGATCGGCCGATCAGCGTTGGAAATTGATACAAAAATACCACTTTTCTTGAAAATGACAGTATACCAGGTGCCATGATTTTACAGGATGCTTTACACTGTCATTCACTAACAGTCCAGCAAGGTATTTCAAAATGATTTGGTAGTTTTATTTTTTGATGTTTGCAAATGTTGTATTTTCCCTTTAATGTTTGACCAAAACATCCCCTGAATAAAGTCTGATATTTTCCCTGTAAGTTCAAGTTGCTTAAAGACTATTATGTCTGCAGGATGATTTCTTAAGACCCTGCCCTAATTCCCCCGAAAGGAGAACACAACTCACTGAGGCAAGTCTACTGATTGGCGATTGGGGGTGCCATTCACTTTACACGGTGTGCCGTTTTATTTTTGTTAACGCACTTGATCCCGTAAATTTTTTTACGATTTCGCGGTGCAAATATCGTCCTTCGACTTCATTTTACATTTGCAGCTGAAGAATGGGAACCAGACAGTGGAACTTTCATGGAAAGAGCACCATTAAAGATTTATGTTAAAATAAAGATTGTACCTTTTAGCAGACACGGTGAGGGAAAATTTGCAAGTTTTGGAAAACGCTATTATTTATTAAAAATTGTTAAAAGTCCCGAAAGACACAACATTTTTTAACAGGGTTGGCAATTTTTTTGATTCAGAAAAATAAATAAAAAAAATCTGATTTATTTGATTTAAATCAGATTTATTTGATTCAAATCAGATTTTTTGATTTTTTTTAACTTTCAAAATATTGATATGTCTAAACATGTGTTTAAATCTCCCCATTCACCCTCGCACCCTCAATCCATCACAAAGGAGTTTACATGTTCCTATAATACCCAACATTGAATTGAATCAGTGATTTAAAAAAAATCAGTTGATTTCTTCTACATGTAGTCTACGTCATTGGTTCAATGGTACATTAATACTAAAGACACTTTAAAGGTGCATTGCTTGATTGATACAGCTGAGATACGTTGTGTGTGGATATGAATAAAAACTTGATTTATGGTACGTGTACATGGTATACAAAAAAAATACGACAGTTCTCAATGGGCATGTTGATTTCATAAATATGCTTCTAATTTCAAAACCGGAGGCACTGATCCTTGTGTAACTTATAGTGTTTGATTGATGGTCCAAGGTGGAGAACAGAAATCAGGCCTTGCACCTTTAAAAGGTTTTATACAAATCTCAATCTAAATTTGTAGGGAGAAACGTTAGGAAAAAGACTATCAATTGGGACTTTTAATACACCTCTTGATGGTTCATGTAAGACTACACCAGCACAGTTGATTCACAACATTACTGTAAACAGATCAAGGAATGATTAAAGCTACCGTGAGTGTGCTCTCTTTTAAAATCAAAAACTTTGAAGAAAAACTTTTAAACTCGAATCTTGACTTGATCAAAACAACAATTTGTGTAATTCTGCAAAACCTAAATTGAGTCGATGTTGATGAGTAGGGGTGTTTGAATGTGTTAACAACATCTTACACTTTGTAATTAAGTAGGTCAGTTGATTTAAATGATTAAAATGACCCTCAATCAATTGATTTTGCCAAAAATAAGATTTTACAAAAGAGTGATTTCAATCAGTGATTTTTATAAAAAAAACAGTTGATTTAAATCGCAATTTAAATCAGTGATTTAAATCAACGTGATTTAAATCAGCCAACCCTGTTTTTTAATCGTTCTTTTTATACAACTCGGCAAAAAGTCCTTAATGACTGGTGAACTGGATAAAAATCGCCACTTCAAGGAGTTTTGGCAACGCCAAAAAAAAAATTTCCCTTGCCCCGATAATAGGGATGCGGCGATAATAGGGAGTCCGACTAAGTGTTGCAGCGTAACTAGGAATCAACGGATTTGTAAATTTGGTGCGCCGAAACTAGGACTTTCAATTTCGGTATCGCATTTGTAAATCCGGTGCAGTACCGCCTCGGCCTCGTTCACGAACATAACATGGCACGGACGGTAAAACAAGGATTATTGGCTGTTTCGGCACTTTTTGCCGAAACAGCCTTTGTTTTCGTTAAGATTTTAATTTTTTTAGCTGTTTCGGTGACACACCGAAACAGCTCTTGTTTTCGTTAAGATTTTTGGCTTTTTCGCAATATTTGCGAAAAAGCCTTTGTTTTTGTTCTCATTTTTTTTTTTTAGCTGTTTCTGTGACCCACCAAAACAGCTCTTGTTTTCGTTCAGATTTTTTTTGTGGCTTTTCCGCAAAGTGCGGAAAAGCCTTTGTTTTTGTTCTGGTTTTTTTTTTTTTGGCTTTTCTGCAAAGTTGCGGAAAAGCCTTTGTTTTTGTTCTTTTTTTTTTTTGCTTTTCCGCTTAAAAGCTATTTATGCTATGTTTGTCCTTTGCAGTCACTTTTTAGAGTGTTTAATACAGTTAAAGGTTGTTTACAGTGCTTAGAATAATTCCAAAAATAAAGCTCTTTCACATTCATATGCCCTGCGATGACGTCATCTTGAAAATCCTTCTCAATGCACATTTTGTGCAATTGTGGAAGTAGAATAAAATTATAAATATTAAAAAAATCATTAAAAAAATCAACCGATGACGTCATGGTGACGTCATTTCCTATTTTTGTTTATTCTAGTGCCATTATCTACCTACCCACCAAGTTTCATGACGATCGGACCTTCCCTTATATCCGTTTCAAAAATCAAAATTCAAAAATTCATATAAAATCACATGATGTCGTCATCATGACGCCACCTCCAGTTTCACCTATAACACATCCCGGTCTACCTACAAACCAAGTTTCAACCCAATCGGACTTACAGTTCTGTAGATATAGTACTTCAAAATATGCACATTTGTGATGACGTCAGGTGATGACGTCATATGCTTAATTTGAATGATGTATGACAAAGTTTAATGCCAAAAGTGGCGTGTACTAAAATTGTGTACAAAGTCTATGGGATTTTGCATGGAACAAAAAGAAGAAAGTATTAAAAAAAAAAAAAAAAAATCAGAACAAAAAGAAAGGCTTTTTCGCAAATTGCGAAAAAGCCAAAAATAAAAAATAAAAACTTTAACAAAAACAAAGGCTATTTTGGCTGGTTGCCGAAACAGCCAATTAGATCAAAGCCAGCACTTGTTTTGTTGGGCAAATTACTTACAACATCAATTATTTCTTCTTCTGTAACAGGAGATAAAAAAAATAAATTACAGTTTTGATTTGAGACCGCGCGAAAAAAGAAAAAAAATTAAAATTGCTACCGTCAGCTAAACCTAAAGTTTTTGATAGCCTACGTGATTTATTAATCGAAGACGTCTGATCGGTGAGTAAATGTTCATAATATTACCTAGAAATACAATCTAAGGTATCTCCTAGGCAAGGAAGAATATCAACTTCGTTATTAACGACAAATGTAGGAAAGAGGGATCAGGTTTTTCACTTTTTCAATGTTTGTGCATAACCCTTAGTCGTGTTGGGCGCGTGGGCTGGGCGTGATCGATTGATAGCACTGCGCTATCGCATCGGTCAATCGTGACGGTTAGCTCGAACTTTGTGTGCCTTAAAAAAAAACCAGGAGTAGCTATAGAATGCAGGGCCACATCGGAATTTTTTTTTTGTAGTTGGATGCGATGTGAGGAGTGGGGTTGTTGAATAGAATGGCACTCTTTTGAGAACGAAGCAACGCAGGTATATGAGATTACTACGGGTATGAACGTAGATGTGTAACAAAATATAGAGGGCGGCATAAAGAGTGAATGGGCATGAAGCAAATTGTGATGAATAGAGGACGCTGTAGAGAGTGAATTATTGACGTTGAATTACACATGAATTATAGTACTTGGAATTAATACCGAGTGAGACGGCTTGGGATGCCATGGATGCGTGGATGCGCAGATGCGGGGTGGATGGGCATGAAGTAATCAATAGAGGGCGCTTTATTTACCCCAGGACCCTCTACTTTATTTACCCTAGGACAGGACCCTCTACTTTATTTCCCTATCTAAAACCAACCCCAACCTACACACTCATTCCGCCTTGGATGCGTGGATGCGCGGATGCGTGGTGGGCATGAAGTAAATTTTAATCAATAGAGGCGCTTTATTGGATGCGCGGATGCGTAGATGCGGGGTGGGCATGAAGTAAATTTTAATCAATAGAGGGTGCCTTATTGGATGCCTGAATGCGTGGATGCGCGGATGCGGAGTGGGCATGAAGTAAGTTTTAATCAATAGAGGGCGCTATAGAAAACCGACTGCGCATCCACGCAGCCATGGATGCGCGGATATAGAATGGAGTGGCCCTGTATTCTATGGTTGTACAATAACGGGGAGCAAAAAACCCCAGAGCCGTGAATTAAGAAGAAAAAGGTGTTCGACTGGTGGCAGCATGATCGACCGACATTACCGATGCAGGTATACCCCGATGCGATATAGCATCACGATCGATCAATAGCGCAGTGGGATTGACCCATCAAACAGATCGACCGATCGCGCTCAACAAAAACAATTTATAAATTATAGCGCATTACTCAAGCTATTGTGTGGCCAATTAATATGGCCCTCTTTAAAAGGGCACTAGGTCCTTCAAGTCCTTTAATGAAGGTCATTCATTGCAAGTCCCTACTTGACCCAAGACTAATGACTAAAAGTAAAACATGTGTAAAAGTGAATTTTTGTTTTCTTATTAATACTAGGCTGTATAGGGGCCAGTATATACACAATAGTACAATATTCATACATCATGACATTGTTCCTAAGGCCTGATCCGACCGTATCATGACCGTTATCGGTAGGCCTATATGTTAAAGTTGAGGTTAAGTTTTTGAGAAAAAAAATTTGCATGGATTTTGATGAAACTTGGATGTAGTGTCCCTTGGGTGGGAAGACATTACTGAGGTGAAAGGCAGGATTGGCTGATAAAAATCACTTTGATTTAAATCACTGATTTAAATATTTTTTTTAATTCACCGTTAAAATCAGTGTTTTGTAAATCTTATTTTTTAAATTGAATTCACTGATTCCAGTTACATGTAATTACAAAGCGTAAGATGTTGTTAACACATTCAAACACCCCTACCTCATCAGCATTGACTCAACTTGCATAGGTTTTGCATAATGACCCAAAATCATTGTTTTGATCAAAGTCAAGATCTGAGTTTAAAAGTTTTTCTTCAAAGTTTGAATTTCAAAGACAGCACACTCACGTTTGCTTTAATGATACCTTGATCTGTTGATAGAAAAATTGTGAATCAACTATGCAGGTGAAGGCTTACCTGAACCATCTAAAGGTGTATTAAGTCCAATTTATTGATATTCTTATTATGATACTTTATTGATGTTCTGCACCTTGTATGAAGGACCATCAATCAAACACTTTAAGTTACACAAGGATCAGTGCTGCCAGTTTTGAAATTAGAAGCATTTTTATGAAATTAACGTGCCCATGGAGAACTGTACTCATATTTTTTTGTATGTACGCTGTACACGTACCATAAATCACGTTTTTCATTCATATCCACACACAACATAATATCTCGGCTGTATTTATCAAGCCACTTCAGAAAATAGGCTGTTGCCGGATTGGTCGATAGAACTAGATTCACAACATACACATGCTGTATTGAAGAAAATAATATCATATTATTAATTAATATTTTATTAACACCCCCCCCTCCGCTCTGAGCCTCATGTATTTGTGTACACACAATTTGTACGGCTCAAAAGTTTCCCTGGAAAGAGTTTACACTCATTAATTGTCACATGAAAAGGTCGGGTGTGTTATCTTTTAATTAGAGGAAGTTGGATAGTATTCTCTAATCGTTGCGTGTGACCACCCCACACGACTTGCAACTGAGACATACTGTAACCACTCAGTCTCGTGTCTGGATGAATTGCTTCAAAGCTCACAGTTTTTAAAAGGTGAAAGTTTAACCTTTTTAAACTGCAGTGCTTTACTTACATGCGTTTCTTGAATTATGAGTTTAAGTCCTTTATTGTTTTGACTTATTGGCTTCGCCTTGGGTGCTACGCGCCCCTCGGGTGTTAAAAACACCACATCCCACATCACAGCAGTCAACAATTATTACCTGTATGTTCCATGAATATCCATAAATTCTTGACACTGCAGACACCTGCACACACCATGGCATTTATAATGTAGCAACAGTGATGAGAGAATGGGCCGTCCGTACAGTCACACAATGAGAGGCAGTAGGGACTACAGTCGTTGATTGCCTGCCGCTGGGAGGGAAGGGCCGGATATGGGCACTACCTGCTCCTTTGGGTCCACGGCCGTCAAACATCAGGATGAAGAGGTCGTCAGGTGGAGAGGCCATGTGCTCTATGGCAATGGTGAGCTTTGGTTACAAATATTCATCTTTGCTTGATGTCCCTGTGTGCCAGGGCAAACTATAGGCAAGTAATAGTGCATGAAAGTCCTGGTACCAAAACCCTGTGGTACCAAATACCCTGTGAAATCATTCTGCCTGAATTGGTATCATTCGATCATTGAAGGTGTTCTAAGAAAAATGTGCCAATGTGCTTAGTTTGTAGGTGCGTCGGCAACAGAGTTCAGTTACAAGACCCCAAAAATTGTGCATACATTTTCTCTGTTTTCAGGAATATTATCCACTGAGCTAAAACTTCAACAAGTTAGTGGTAACACTTACAATGTAAATGCACCAATCATAAGATTTTGGGCAATTTTGTTGCTTCAAATGAAAACAATGTACAAAACGCTAATGTTCCCTTGTAACTTTAGAAGTGAACTTATAAGTAGTACTTGTAATAGCAGCTTACAGCAGTTGTTCCCGATGTACGATACATGCCAAGCTATATAGCTAGTGCAAGATTGGTGTCTGATTGTACTGCATACAATTTATCAGACTCGCACCAAGAAACTATCATTAGATTAACACCAGTGCAGACCATGCAACAGTTTTGTACCCCCCCCCCACCTCTCTCTCTCTCACAGAAGTATCATTTAGGGCCCGTCTCCATTCATATCCAGGACAAGTTCTGGACAAGGTGCGGTATATACTGCATTTGTCCCAGACATGTTCAGGGGAAATTTTTATTAGCAAACTGCTCGACTCACCAATTGCGGGAAGATTGCCGGGAAGTTCTTGCTCAGAATCCTGCAACTTATACCCGATGCAATGTCGGCAACTTGTATGGAACTTGTCCCGGATATGAATTGAGATGGGCTCTTTATACTAACTTGTGAAACAAGACAGATTAGAACAGATTTTGCAAAGCCCTTCCATCTTTGGAGTTGCCCAACGACATCCACACATACATGTACCGGTACATGTACACGTGTACATACTGTACATGTACGTACATTTTGTGAACTGCTAATAATACAACACATAAAATAATTTTTTTGTCGCTTGAACTATCACCCCAGTATGCACACTGCTCAAAGCCCGCCTTTGGAAAAGTGATAGCATGCACTTTCCAGTGCTCAGTGTGCTGGGAAGGATTGCTAATGAATTCTTAACGAGTTACTGCCATGCATGATTGATCGCAGTAATAGTGGCCATTAATTTTAACCACCCAAGCTGACAAAAATCATTTCCAAGGTTAATTTTCTTGCTGTGGATTGAAAAGCGAGATAATTGTCTCCAGAACAGTGTAAATTGGTCATAAAGTATACGGTACATGTACATGTACATGTACAATTGAATGGATTACCTGGTCTTGAAAATCGTGTGTACATCTACATGTATGTGTAGAACCCTTTTTTTAATGACCGTTTTCCTTTTATCCACATAATATGTGAGGCGTTCTGGCAAAATGAGACGGAGCCGGGCACAGACCGTAGTGGAGAAAAATGCAAAAAAACCTGATTGGGGTTGATTTTTTTCGATATTCGGATTAATTCATTATTTGTTATCTTTGATATGTCTACTACACATGTGTTAAAAAGCTAACTAGTATGTAAATGTGGAATTCAAGTGTTTTTAAGGAAAAACAATTGGCATATTTCATTTTCACAACAAAACTCAAAACTTTAATGGCCTTTTTCTCATTATTATACTCATTTGACATGTCGTTAAATGCAAACTTTAAACAGCCTTATAACTTGTCAACGGAATGTCTGATTGAAATGCAACAAACAGTATTGTAAGGAGAATTTTATTCTCTTTCCTTATATCCATAAACCCTCACATGATTTCAACCTCTGCTCGGTTCTGTCTCATTTTGCCAGAATATATGTACATGTATTTTTCAGTTTAATTTCTCTTCTGCAGTTTTGAAAATGTTTGCTTCATGTTCTTTGTACATGTATAATAATTTGTGTTTTTTTTTGTTTTTTTGCATTCATAGAAGATTCAATGCATTTGATTTGTTAGTAGTAAGAAATACGGGAAGTGCTACAACATGTAGAATGAGAATTGACACACATTGTAAAATTTTGGTGAAGAATTTTGGTGAAGAAAACAATTCTTGTCACTTGGGGATTGTAGGCCAGGGCTACTGTTTTTTGGGCTACATGTACATGTAGCTACATGGATTTTAACAAAGGGAACCAGTCATCTATTGATGAACGGATGAAGTAGGAAAAAAACAATTAATAATGGATTATAAATGGAGAATGGGTCATTGGTTATTAAACTTAACACTTTGGTACATGTACTGGTACATCACACATTACTTGTGCATGTAAATTTGTATGGTGTGTACATACATGTGCATGTTTCCATATCAACCCGAGTACCATTTTCCCAAAAAAGAGAGACAATTAATGATGAAGTGCAGACCTGTGTGGTACATTTACTGTGTTCAGATAGTCAGTTGTCATGGCTGCGAGGTGAAACCTATTGTGACCAGTCTAATGAGGACTTTTTGAAGTATTCTGGATAAAAAGGATGAGTACAGATTCTCCATTGGAGAGGCCAGTGGGGGTGATCTCAGAGAATGAGATGGATTATCAGTCCAAGGGGGATGTAATCTATCCTTAATCCTTGAAGCTCAGACCGGAAAGCTATAGGGTTGCAGACCAGTAAATAAACTGCCATAGACCCCAATGATAAATGCCCCCACTTAAATTCAGGAAAAATACTCACAACTCTCCAAGGTATTCCAGACACACATCAAATAAAAGCTAGTTTCATCATCTTTCATTTTCTTTTCAATTTTCGGGGGGTTAACTGATGACTTTTAGGACAAATTTCCATCCGAAGATGATCACCCCTTAAAATGGTCCTGAAGCCCATCGCCATTTTGAAAAACGACACCTACACTCCATTGCAAAATAGAGCGCTTTTAGGGCTCCAATTTTATCCAAACTGCTCAGAACTACAAGCTCACAGTCCTGTGCACGGCTTCCACCACATATTTTTTACAAACCCTCAAGTTCATGGCCCACAATATGCTCAAATATAGCGAAGAATTTTAGGGCATGCAAATCGTGATTTGGCCGGCGTAGGCGATTTCGGACAGATTTACTGACCTGCAACCATAGACCATTATCATGTTGCGGCCATCGTGATTTTTTCCCATTCAAATCAATGTAACCAAAACGAGGCTGGAAGGAAAAGTAGTCTGGCTCCTTTTTGCACAAAAATCATTATCATTCAGTACTGTTATTGGGTACAGGGAACATGACTAAAATAGTGGCAGCATGATAAAGGTCTATGGCATAATAATGCACAGCATTTGCAAACATTACAAAACAAAACTAGAGGTTGTAGAAACAACCACACGGTGTTGGGCCATGGATTACCGCAAACTTTGCCACACACATCTATTCAAAATATGCATGTTTAAATCCATGTTTGACTTTTTCAACATGCCGCCAGAGGGCGCTCTAACATTTGATGACGTCACCTGTAAAAAATTTTACGCAAATTTCGCCACATACATCAAGTAATAATGCATTTTTCACTTTGTTAACCTGCCGCTAGAGGACGCTTTAACATTTTATGACATCACCTACAATATTAGGCAGACACTCACATCGTTGAAAGCAAATTCGTACCATGCCACACACATGGATCCTCAAAATGCATGTTTAAATCCATGTTTGAAGGAAGGGTCACATGATTTTGCACTTAATACCGAAAATTACCACCCTGCAATATTGTATCGATTGCCATAAAGAACAAAATCAAATCTGTAGCGGTTGATTTTAAATTGATTTTCAAAGATTAAATCTAGAAATCTTTGATTGCTTGTAATACGATACTTGATGACATCATTGTGATGTCATTACCAGAAAGTTCAAGAGCTATGGTAACTGTGCTGTATATAGCCAAATCTGGGTCGCACTAAAAAGCGTCAACACATGACAGAAGCGTCAACACACCGTCAACACATCCAAAACACATTCTGAATTGACAAAAATGGTATATAATTGTAAAGCATAGAATAAAAGAGAATTTCCATTGGATTGAGTTTCCATTTCGTTGTTAAAAATATAGTATTTTCACGCGAAAAAATGACCTTTCATCTTGACTTCGCATAAAGCTTGGACTACACCATTTCAAGTAGGGGTGTGTAGGTAATGACATTATCTTGCCATAAACAAGAGAGGGATACCAGATCTGTGAGGACTGAGGATCGGAGTGTTTGATCATTATTTTTGTGAGTTGTATTTATGTTTCATTTACTTTATTGAAATGGACATCTTTTGGTATTGGCCGGCCGTGCCCTCTCTGTTGGTTTATTGTACAACGCTATCACCCTTTAGCTTAATGGTATGGTCCGCACTGCCACTGAGGTAACATGGCAGCTGATTTTGGAGCGGCACGGAGAGCCAATTTTCTTGAACTGAAAATCGCAATTTTCAGACGTTTTATCTATTAATTTAAGCCAAAATCTTGTTTCTGTCCATACTGTATGGGTTACATACTGCTTTTGTCACTTTTAATGCATTTTGGATGTGTTGATGCTGTGTTGACGCTGTGTTGACGCTTTGGAGTGTGTTGACGCTGTGTTGACGCTTTTTAGTATGACTGCCAAATCTTGATTATATCTGGGCAATTCTTTGGTAACGGAATTACGCCCATTTGTCACTTTGTTAAGGATTATTCTTTCCCAAGAAAAATATGTTCTATGCTAGGCAACTAATCTAAACATGGAAAGGGAGCCAAGACCCAATACAATTGATTGACCGCTAAAAAAAATCCCACAAGATAACCCTTTAAGGGGCGGAGCTTAATATCGGTAACGGAAGTATGGACGGAGGACAAGCATATTTGAGTTCTCGCATAAATTAATAAAAATCTCTGAAGTTTTGAAATTTTAAAATTGGACACTACCTGTTATTTGTAGAGTTCAGGGTTGTTGTTAACTTCAATGCAGAACAAAGTTGAAAAAATAATCACTCTTTTCATAATTTGCAT